AACGGTCCACTCTCCATCCAAATCGCCTTGAGAAACTTGACGTTGTCGGATCACAGATGGCGAACGAGCCGCAGGCGAAACGCCCGGACCGTCATGACAACGCGTCTGGTGGTGCGAGGGGAGGAGATACTTTTGGTCGGGAGCTTTAAGGATAGTGCGTCACGGCGGCGGCCCCAGCGACACGCTACTCCTTGTGAGCGGATGGCGTGTCGCTCCGCTCCGCGGGGCGGGAGGCTGGAAAAAAAACTCGGGACGTTGACGTTTCGAAACAGGAGCGTGGATAGCGTGTCGCGCCGAATCGTGGTGGGCCCGAACCAGCGGAACGATACGCTAATCCAAATCTCCTGACCGTACGAGGACACGGGGTAGGAAACCAGGTGGAGGGGGGGAGCGACAGGCAGAGGAGCCAAAAGCCGTCCAGCCCATGGGCACAAGCACCGCGTGAAAAGCACAAGGAGGTGCAGCAGAGAGCTATGGCTGCTGCTGGCACGAGTGCGCTGCAGGAGGGGGGGGAGGGAAGAGGAGGAGGAGGAGGAGGAGGAGGAGGAGGAGGACGGCAACAACGACAGCGAAAGGGCGAGACAAGGTGGAACGGTGCACTGCAGCAGCCGGAAGCTCGCGGCTAAGCTCGTTCGGGAAGGGAGGAAGGCATAGGGGGGGAGGAGGCGCGGGAGCCCATCTCAAGAAATGCCTACACCCCTGATGAGGGTGCGATTGTCTATTTGGACCTGAATCCCGCTGCTGTCGATTTACAAGTGTATCGGCCGTCGTCTCAGTGCCCCGCTGGCTGAGCTGTCTGCCTACTTATCTTTCACAATGGCATGTGCTGGACAAGCGCGCTCCGCTACCCGCAAAATAACTACTCGCAGATGGCCTGGATCCGCCGCGGGGGTTTGCGATACATGACATACGGGAACTCGGTCATGGCATTTTCTCTCGTCAATGGCAGCGAGGCCCGTGAGTCATGCACGACAGAATCAAAGCACAAAACAATGCTAGCACAGGGTTAGCGGGCAGGACCCTCGAGCAAGCGGCGGCTTTCCACGCGCCCCTCGCAGGCCCGCAAGCCTGGGGTCCAAAGCCCGCGCCCGCGCGGTCGCCGCGCGCATCGAGGCGCTCCAGCAGCCGCTTCACGGGTCGCACGCGGAATGCGACCGCTCGAGCCAACTTCTCTCCGTGCAGAAGGCCTTCATCAGGTCGTCTACGTCCTGCTCGCGCTGGCTTCGGCGCCGCTGCAGTGGATCTGCCTCAGCCACGGCGTCGGCCTCGCCATCGCAGTCGCTCATGGGCACGCTCTCGGACTGCCGATCCGCTTCGGTCCTCTCGACCGTCGCGAAGCCGTCCGAGGCCACCACGCCGTCGCGCCCAGAGCGAAGGAGGCCGGCCCAGGCCTTGACGGTGTCCATGAGCTTCGCCAAGTGCTGGGTGGCGGCTGCGTCATGCGAGCGCCAGTCTGACATGAGGCCCCGCAGTTTCTGGACCGACCTGCAGGAGCGAGAACCCGCCCGCACCTGCTCCGAGAACTGCAGGGTGCCCCTGATGTTGGCGAGGGAGCCCACGAGCAGCTCCTTCAGCTCGTCCCGGACGTCCTGGACCTGCTGCCGCACGCGCTGCTCCGCCAGCCGCCAGCCCGAAGCCAGGCCCTCCACGAAGGCCTCCACTCCGGCATGCTGGTGCACCAGCCAATCTCCTGGGGCCAGGCACTCGTTGCACCGATCGCCTGGCCCATCGCCTGCACATTCCGCCAGCGCGGCCGATCTGGCATCAGCTGCCGAGGATGCGGCACGACCCTCGCCTGCCGCGGGCGCCTCCACGAAGCTGCCGCCGCCGAACGCGCAGTCGTCGCCGTCCTCGTCGGGCGCCCGCAACGCCGCCCGCGCGAGCAAGTCCGCTTCGAGGTCCACCACGTCCAGGCCCATCGGGACCTCGGGAAGCGTGGTCGGCCCCTCGAGCTGCTCCCCGAGGCGCGGCCCCTGCTCAGCAGGACGCCGCGCGGACAGGGGCGCCCCGTCCTCGGGCAGGTTGGCGGCGTGTTGGGCGCAGCTGCGCATCAGCACCTGCCCAGGCCTCGCCCGCGCTCCGATGACCCCCGCGACCAAGGGTAGGCCGAGAGAGGCGCTCTCTCCTTGCCACCTCGTCGCCGAGCGCCCCGAGTGCGGCGCCGCACCAGGGCCCGTCGGGGCGGCCCAGGGCACGCCAGAGGCCCCGCCAGGGCAACGCGCCCGCGCCGCCTCGCCTCACGCCGAGCCGCAGAGGCCCCTGGCCAAGAGGCCTTTTCCCGACGAAGATATCGCACGGGCCACCCCGCCCGCCGGTGGCGGCCCCCGCAGCCATATCCCAGTGTCCTCCAGCAGCACCTGCGCACCCGGACATGCGGGCCGGCGCGACAGAACCACTTGATGGGGAGCTTGGGCCAAAATGGCTACGGATTCGGTGATGGCATTGGATAAAGGACCCTGAGATACGGAATCCACGGTCTGGAAGCCAGTGGAACTCCAATCGTGGACCGGCCATGGATATCACCGCCGCCCTCATTGGATAAGGAATCCTCCAGGGTCTGGCGCCTCCTTGGACTATTCCTTAACAAACGCCTCCACCGTACCTTCTTTCTCGGACGTTTGCAGGTCGGCACCTTGCGAGTCGTGGAACGCGCTTGGTGCTGTACGTTGCCGGCCAAGAAAACAACACAGAGGCGCATCGGGGGGCGAGGAGGCTCCGCCGGAGCTCGAACTTCCGCTTCTGGCCGAAGGAGAGGGACACGATCTGGATGTCCTCGAACTTGCCCTGGAAGAGCTGCTCGTCGTCGGCGTGCCAGCCTGGGCGCCGGGGCGCGGGGCGCGCTCCCCGCGGGCGCGGCGCGGCTGTTCGCAGCAGGAGCCTCGCCGGCCCGTCGGAGCGAGAGGGCGGGGCTGCGCACGCCCCTCGTCGTCCTCGCCCTCGTCCTCGTCCTCGTCCTTGTCACCATCACCGTCGGCGTCGTGGTCGACGTCGTCGAGGTCGTCGTCGTCGGCGTCGTGGACGTCGTCGTTGTCGCCGTCGTGGACGTCGTCGTCGTCGTCGTCGTCGTCGACGTCGTCGACGTCGTCGTCGTCGTCGACGACGACGACGACGACGTCCTCCTTCCCCGTTTCCGTCCTCCAGCCCTTCTCTCCTTCGCCGCCCTCCTGCTCCACGGCCCTCTTCTCCCCGTGTCCTGTCCTCGACGTCGTCCTTCCCCTCTCCTTCTTCTGCATGGTCCCTGCCTCCTCGTGCCACCGCTATCGGTCTCCTGGTCTCTCTCTCTCTCTCTTGTTCTCTGTCTCTACATGAGTCGATGTCACTATCTCAGTCACGTTCTCTCTCGATATATGTATCCTGCTATTTCTTCTTCGTTGTTTCTCTATTATTGTGTGTCTCTCTCTCTTTCCCTTTCTATTTCTCTCTCTTCCATCTCTCCACAGCGAAGAAACCCGCGCCCCCTCGCGCAGTCACCCCCTGAACCATGACGACGCAGCCGTGGACCACCTGGTTGAGTCGGCCGACGCCCAACCCTCCGACGCCCAGGGGCGTCCGCGCACGATGGCCTCCAACCACGCCCTCCGCGGCCCATCCCCCCCCCCCAATCGGCCCACCATGATGGGACAGTTTTCCACCACCACTATCTTAGGTAGGACGTGGATGACGGGAAGATGGGGAGGTCCTCCTCCTTCTCCTCCTCCTCCTCCTCCGTCCCCTCCCTCTCCCCTCCCCCTCCCCCTCCTCCTCCTCCTCCTCCTCCTCCTCCTCCTCCTCCTCCTCCTCCTCCTCCTCCTCCTCCTACTCCTCCCAATCCTCCCACTCCTCCTCCTCCTCCTCCTCCTCCTCCTCCTCCTCCTCTCCTCTCCTCCGCCTACTCCTCCGCCTCCCTCCGCCTCCTCCTCCTCCCACTCCTCTCCATCCTCATCCTCCCAATCATCCCACCCCTCTTCCTCCTCCCTCCTCCTCCTCCTCCTCCTCCTCCTCCTCCTCCTCCTCCTCCTCCTCCTCCTCCTCCTCCTCCTCCCATTCCTCCTCCTCCTCCTCCTCCTCCTCCTCCTCCTCCTCCTCCTCCTCCTCCTCCTCCATGTCCTACCCATGGTAGTGGTGGTGGATCATCGGCCCAGCATACCAGGGTTCCGACAGGCACGGCTGCGATCTTCGGGCCGTCGGCCACGAAACCACCCAACGTAGGGACCGCAGGCAGGGCGTCACGCAGCACAGGGCTGGATCTAAACGCTCTGTTTCGTTATGGTTTCGTTTTGTCGTTCGTTTTGCTCGACCTGTTCTCCTGCACCTCCCAACCAAAACGAATTACTCCGACGGTAGGACCCCACATGAGAATATGTCTAGCTTCCCTTAGCCCTTCCCTCCTCCCCCTGGCGGACACTCTCCTCTCGCCGTCAGCTATGCTCTCTCCTCCTCCTTCTATGTATCTTCCTCCGTCTCCCCCTTCTCCTCCTCCTCCTCCCCCTCCTCCGCCTCCTCCTCACCCTCCAAGGCATGAACGATTCTTGCCCCGGTGCCGGTGCCGGTGCCGGTGCCGGTGCCGGTGCCGGTGCCGGTGCCGGTGCCGGTGCCGGTGCCGGTGCCGGTGCCGGTGCCGGTGCCGGTGCTGGTGCCGGTGCTGGTGCCAGTGCGGGTGCGGGTGCGGGTGCGGGTGCCGGTGCCGGTGCCGGTGCCGGTGCCGGTGCCGGTGCCGGTGCCGGTGCCGGTGCCGGGTGCCGGTGCCGGTGCCGGTGCCGGTGCCGGTGCCGGTGCCGGTGCCGGTGCCGGTGCCGGTGCCGATGCCGGTGCCGGTGCCAGTGCCTGTGCCGATGCCGGTGCCGGTGCCGGTGCTGGTGCCGGTGCTGGTGGCCGGTGCCGGTGGCCGGTAGCCGGTGCTGGTGCCAGTGCCGGGGCCGGTGCCGGTGCTGGTGCCGGTGCTGGTGCCGGTGGCCGGTGCTGGTGCGGGTTCTTGTTTTCCCAGAACGTCCTCTCCTTCTCCCTCCCGCCTCCCGCCTCCCAGCAGTGCCACTCCCGCCCCTCCAGGGAAGCCCCGCCTGAGCGAGGATGGTAACGGAAATCCATACTATTTACATGGTTTCGTGCCCTTCCCACCTCTCCAGGGAGGCCCCGCCTGAGCGAGGAGGGTATCCCACCCCTCCAGCAGGGAGGCCCCGCCTGACTGAGCGAGGAGGGTATCGGAAACCCATACTATTTACATGGTTTCGTGCCCCTCCCTCCCCTCCAGGGAGGCCCCGCCTGAGCGAGGAGGGAATCGGGAACCCGTACTATTTACATGGTTTCGTGCCCTTCCCACCTCTCCATGGAGGCCCTGCCTGAGCGAGGAGGGTATCGGAAATTCATAAAGATTACATGGTTTCGTGCTCCTCCCACCCCTCCAGGCAGGCCCCGCCTGAGCGAGAAGGGTATCGGAAACCCATACTATTTACATGGTTTCGTGCCCTCTCCATCCGCCTGAGCGAGGAGGGTATCGGAAACCCATACTATTTACATGGTTTCGTGCCCTTCCCACCTCTCCAAGGACGCCCCGCCTGAGCGAGGAGGGTATCGGAAACCCATGCTATTTACATGGTTTCGTGCCCCTCCCACCCCTCCAGGGAGGCCCCGCCTGAGCGAGGAGGGTATCGGAAACCCATGCTATTTACATGGTTTCGTGCCCCTACCACCTCTCCAGGGAGGCCCCGTCTGAGCGAGGAGGGTATCGGAAACCCATACTATTTAAATGGTTTCGTGCCCCTCCCACTGACATGGGTGAGGAGGAGGGGAGAACATTACCTATCCATCTCACGTCCTACTCCTCCCACTGAGGAAGGTGAGGAGGAGGGGGAGTTCTGCGATGAGGAAGGCTTCATCATGATGATGGTGATGACGATGGTTATACTGCTGTTCACGATGACGATGACGATGGCGATAATGGTGATGGACGATGACGATGGCGATAACGGTGATGATGATGATGATGCTGATGATGATGACGATGATGATGACGATGACGATGATGGCAACGATGGCGACGACGACGAGGATGATGATGCAGATGCTGGTGATGATGACGATGCTGCTGCTGATGCTGACGTTGCCGGTGCTGTTGTTCATGATGACGACGATGATGCTGATGATCATGACGTCCACGGTGATGCGGACGATGATGATGCCAAGGACGGTAATGGTGATGATGACGACGATGCTGATGATGCTGATGATGATGATGATGATGACGATGGTGGCGGCGACGATGATGATGATGATGACGATGACGCTGGCGATGATGATGATGATGATGCTGATGATGATGATGAGGATGATGATGGTTATGATGATGCCGATGATGCTGACGATGATGATGATGATGATGATGATGATGTTGATGTTGATACTGATGATGACGACGATGATGCTGATGATGACGACGACGACGGGGTGACGACGATGCTGTTGATGATGCTGATGATGACGACGATGATGCTGGTGATGATGCTGATGATGATGCCGAGGATGAGGAGGACGAGGAGGAGCAGGACGACGAGGAGGAGGAGGAGGAGGACTCGCTTGAACGAGGAGGGTCGCGGACAGCATTACTCTTCACCAGGTTTCGTAGGCCTCCCCCCTTCCAGCGGGGCCCCGCCAGAGCGAAGAGGGTATCAACAACCCGTACTATTTACAAGGCTTCGTTTCCTGAGCACCTGTCCTCCCTCCTCCTTTCTTTCGTCTGCCCTTTCGTGCGTACTTACTCGTTCGATGAGCTTCTCCTTCGTGTTGATGTTGTCGTACCCCATGGGTCCCACGAAACTGTTAATATTTTTTATGTGGGGAACTGCGTTTGCATAATTTTACCATTGATTGGACTGCAATCGATTCCACTGGGTTTGCACTTGATTGGCTTGCAACCGATTGGATTGCAACCGCTGGGGGGGCGCACAGGGCAGCGACGAGGAGGCGGCGACGGGACGGTGACGGCGACGAGCAAGGAACCGCCAGACCGACCCTCAGGCCAAGACGACGGGCGGCGACGACGCAGCAAGGGGGGGCGACGGCAAGGACGGAAAAACCAGACCGCCCCTCAAGCCCAGACGACGACGGGCGGCGACAGGGCGGCAACGGCGAGGAGGAGAGAGCCGCCAGACCGCCCCTCAGACGACCCAGCTAATACTAGGAAAGAAGAGAGAAGGCCCCCTAAGTGCAAGCACTGTTTGGGAAATGTCATGATGTTCAATGTCAATGATGTTTTTCATCCGGTGCCAGTGCTGGCGCCGGCGCCGGTGCCGGTGCCGGTGCCGGTGCCAGGGCTGGTGCCGGTGCGGTTGCGGGTGCGGGTGCCAGTGCCGGTGCTGGCGCCGGCGACGGCGCTGGTGCCCGTGCCGGTGCCGGTGCCGGTGCCGGTGCCGGTTGCCGGTGCCGGTGCCGGTGCCGGTGCCGGTGCCGGTGCCGGTGCCGGTGCCGCCGGTGCCGGTGCCGGTGCCGGTGCCGGTGCCGGTGCCGGTGCCGGTGCCGGTGCCGGTG